AAATTAGAGCCAATTAATTTCCTATCGTACAATACCAAATTAACAATATTATAATAATTCACTATTTTTTGGGTCGTTACTTCTGAAACTGCATTGTTTTTCTTTGCGGTCACCTTGTATTACAATTTTGACAATATATTATTGTAATGATACTTTTGGCTTACGCGATTTTTCTGATCCCGAGAGTGCGTGTAAGATAAATTTAGTCATAAATGTTGTGAAAATTTTTTCTGCGAAAGATACATTTGATCCATTGGCTCAACAAGTTCATGTGCACAATACATGAATTAATTTTCGGATAAAACACGTATTCAACATTTTTCATACACTCTTTCGGGTCATCGCATATCACTGTAAGCAAAAAATTAGTCATGCTGACTGATAAAAGTTAGTCCAGCTCTTTGTCTTAAATGACCAATTTAAATTAGAAAGGCCAGTGACTAATTCAAATTAGTCAGAGGGGACAACGACTAACATTTAGTCGTCAAAGATAAGTCAAATATTTGTCAAATTTAACCAAAACTAGTCACTGTTGGCTAAACATTAGTCCTCTCTTAATTTAATAAGTCATCGCGACACGAATTACCTATATTAGTCATTTTGAGCACAAAATGACTAACATTTGTTTACAGTGCAGGCGTGAAAACAAATACAAAAGCTGCAATAGATCTTTTCAATGATACGGTCCAAAAACTAGCTTCAGAGATGGTGTCAAAAACAAGGGATAACTTACATTATGTACATTACATTTGCGTTTCATTTTATACCATTTTTAAAAGGTTTGACAGCAAAGAAATAAAACTACTGCATATCTCACACTGATGCAGAAGCTGGTTAGAAAAGTTCAAGGCTGAACGTATTTAGGATTTTGTTCACAACATTAAATCGGACTATATTTCGTCCCACCCTCAGGTGTTAATACACCTTTTATCTATTGATTTGCCTGTCAGTGTGTCCAGCTAATTAGCAAGTACATTAAGGCAAACATATTTATTAAAAGCAAAGCTCTTTTCGATATAGTAAGTTAGAAGTCTTTTTTCATTGGCCACAAGACTGCAACCTGCACAGCCGCAACGAGATTAGCACAGGAGTACTGAATTAAAAACCAAACGTGTTCGGATTTTCAATCAATACCAGCCTATACAGTTTCAGCTCAGCAACGAGGTATTGTTACGAATTGCAAGTCTGAGACACAACCCCAACGCGGTTGACATCTGAGCACGCCAGGTCTTCTTCCTCTGTAAATAATTGACTCCATTAACTGGGAATGTATTCAGGTGCTTATGATAGAAACAAAACAGATACAATTTTGGCCGCGAAGAATTCGTCCAAGGTGACCCCACCAAAGGTAAGCAATGTTACTTTGTAACAAATAACGTTGTTTGCAAATACCAATATGGGTCCTTCCTGCTGAAATCGAAAATTGTAATTTGGTTGATTTATTTTTCAAATGGATCGAATGGCACATAAATGGAAAAATCGATATTGCTGGGCGAAGGCCAGTTGTGAATTTGTTTTTTACTCTGATGCTACATGGCCTGCTGTCAACTTTGATACTGTGTTACAAAGCAAGCTATCTTTCGTGCCTTGTGAAGATTCTTGATAATTACGCGCCGTGCAAGACAGGCAGTTGCTGAGTGTTCTGGGCGATTTCCATGTTTTATCCGTTCGTTGATTTCTTTTATTTTTTAACTTCAAATAAAATGATACACGAAGGTATATTTCAATATTCCTATGGATTTCCCAAGTCAACTTTTGTCAATCGAAGCGAAAACCTACAATTACATAACCTGTAATTAAACCAAGACCCCCAACCACCCACCCACCCCTTTCATGCTGACATCAGGACTATCTTTGAACTAAGTAAATATTGATTACAAAGTATGCAAATATTGGCCTACCGATCAGTCTCGCCTCATGTTAGTCAATGTCTGGCTTATAAAACCATGGAACAGATAACAAAACTTGCTATGTGTCTACGGTCCGTCACTTTTTTGTACGTCACAAAGGACTATCGGCCTGTATTGACAGCTGTATTTCCAACACCCCGCTGTGCTTTTGCGGTATAGATTCGAAAGATTATTTCAGTGTTGCATGGAAAGCAGAGAAAAGTGTCTTAGTGTTTGGGTCATTTGTTTGCTTCTAGATTCCAGATAAGCTCGTGAAACAGCGTTATTGCAATCTGCAGCACTTTATTAATTACCGTCGTTTTCATCGGCGATGGAAAATAAATGCAACAAAGAACTGTGTCCTTAAAACTGCATTTTCATATCAATAGTGATATTTGTATTTAACGCGGCAGGTCTTTGCTGTGTTCAAAAGTTACACTCGCAGTAAAAAAATGCACAAGCGACGGTAGTTGCATGCGATGGCATACCGGTGTACGTCCTTATTGTTATATATCATTATGATCGACAGGAATTCATAGCCACTAATCAACAAATGAGACGACACTCGGTCGATTATTGTTGATCACCGCCTAAGAACATAGGGATCCGTGCACATACGCACACAAGTGTGTATTTGCCTGCAACTGGGGACCCCCTAATGTTCCTCTTTTGTTTGTACTTTTTTACAAGACCACCCATATGTTTTATACACAGTTGTCAATCGGGGACCTCCTGTCAATCGGGGACCTTATTGTCCTCTATTGTTCAGGGTCCCCAATTAAATGCAGAAACAAACTCACACCGATCCCGGCGGTCTTACATTTTGCATAAAGTTTCAAAAATGAGAATGTGTCGTGACTACTGGGAAATTACAGTCAGTTCTCATGATTCACGCTCCACCCCGGAGGCGTGACAGTCAACGTCGACTTGGGCAGCGTCGCAGTATTTTTGTCCCTAAACTGGTTCCCTTGAATACGACATGACCTTCGTGCGCAAGTGCGCCGCCAGCAGTACAGAGGCAAAGCAAATTTTGTAGACACTGCCGCCGTGTACGTCTCTTAGGCGTTGCTGGGATGTGAAGATATGTAAAAATTTCGCGCTAGAGCAGTCCACGCACGTGGAAATGTGAACAATTCCTTTAGACAGTCTAAACTGAGGATCACAGTTGTAACTCCTGTCAGTACTGGTAACCATCCCAATGACCATCGTCAAAATGAAACAAGACGTCTCTTGAAAACACCTGTCGGTTGTCTACGGTATTAGGACACAATTTCGAAAGTTTATTTCAGTTATTAGATCACAATCCCCAGGTCAAAATTAAGGTTTGTAATGTAACAAGTTCGAACACGATTTCAGTGAGGAACACGAGAATTGTTGTTTTCCTTTAATAGATTGTATCACTCCTTACCTAAAAGCACGACGCAAAAAGGAATAAGTACATGTGAATAAAATTAAATATTTCCACCTATCCCCAAGGCGATCTCTCCAGTGACCCATTCACCTCAATGATAATTAAAACTGACTCGACGCAGATGCTTAATTCAAGGAGGTTTGTCTGTCGTGTACATCCATGTACCCGCATCCTAGCTATAAATCTATTTAATTTGGCCGAGCAGTTGATGAACTGAGGCCACAGTAACTACTTGAGCGGCGGAATGATCAAGGCAGTTCGATATTAACTAGAAAAACACACACCCAGACAAGGGACTTGTGTCTGATGTACACGGTAACGCTATCGAGACTCTGTGTACATGAAACAGGCCTTCTTACTGTAAGTATGGGTTACTTAATGAGACAAAGATTATAGACAAGACTATATAGTATGTTTCCAACCAAAAAATAAAAAAATTTCACTCAGTAAAGACTGTTTCTAAACATGATACGATATTTTTCAAAATAAGTTACTTTTGATTCATACATGTTACCGCAATGAACCAATTTAACAGCTTGAAATTATATACACGCTTCATTGTAATTTCATATTTTTTTAAAGGCTTTGGTTGCCTAGGAACGTACGCATGGCCGACGAGGGCAAACACTCTGTCGGATGCTTCCTTGTAAAAAATAACAGAAAGATTAGTGTGTCGATATTAGCAATATTGCCCGAGGCGATTGGAATCACAATGCACTTGTACATGTACACGTACATGTAAATGTACATGTACAGTACATGTACAGTACATGTAAATGTACATGTACATGTACAGTACATGTACATTACAATGCGTGCAAGTGCATGCACGACTAGCGTTGCTAGGAATGTGGGCAGGTCTTGCCCATGCGCACTGGATCGGCCCTTGGGAAACGCACAGAGAGAGGGAGTCCTACTCTCATCAATGCGTTCATCATCTGCTTTCCCTTCCATGCGGGGCTTGGCCACAGAGCCATGTTCAATTCAACAGGACACACCACGCCGACGCACATATACACGTGCGGGACTGCAGTAACGCACGCACATCTAGCAGTGCTACGCTGACAACACTAAGGTGGCAAACCTTGGGAAACCTGTATGCCTCGGGACCAACAGCGCGGCAGGAAACTTTTGTCCGAGTTGATGAAGTATTGAACAAATATAATAACCATCGTGTAGGAGTGAGCCCCCCTGTGTTTGTCAGCGAGGTTGTTCCGTGCCGAGGCCCCTTCGGTTTGATTGGGGAAAAGTCACCGGAGCCCGATTCTCGAGTGTCGAAATCGTCTGTGTGGATCGATACACAACACGGAAACGCATCATGTCTGCACAATAAGTGAGGAAAGGACACACAACAGGGGCACGGCGTTTTGTCACGGAATCAACCACTCATATAGAAATTGCATTGATACGTCTGTGTCATACACTGGCACAATTTTTTTCTATCAGGCGTTTGCTTTGTGAAAGCGCACAAACGAAACTCTTCACGCACAAGTGACTCGAACTAGCCTGTTTTTCCCCGGTACATGCACTCAGAACATGCAGTACAAGAGGCCCGACGATGGCAGTTGGTTGAAGCAGTATCGACAGGGGAAAGTTGCCCTACACGTTGCTAAAGTGTAGCGCGTGCGTCTGACGGAATGGTGCAAGCCAGTCCGGCCACAATACTCTCATTTTGTATCGGTCATTACCAAGGTGTATAGACCTAGACTTCTGAGCTTCATCTGTGTCTGATAACAGTCCACCACCAAGAAGCATTTTGTAAGTTTACATTTTGTGACAGCTGTACGGCCAGTAGCCACCGTGTGCACCCAATATACAGTGAGGTTAACCCGTGAGAATCCACTCCAGTCTGACTACGGAGGCTTACAACTTGGGCTTGGCCACGAGTCTTTCCTCTGTTTCAGCTACATCAGTCTACCCAAAACACTAGACGGGGTCCTAGTCATAAAGAAAGCAACTTTCTACTACTAAACGTCCAAGTTCTCCCTCAAAAGGGGTTCGTCCACTATTGAGGCCATGGCATTTGAACTCCCACGGCGAACTTCCAATAGTGCTGTCTGTGTCGGACAGAAGACTGCTGTGGGCCAATGTAGGGTTCCTCGTTTTCGCAAAGGGTCATCGGTCACACCTGCGATGTGCAGCCTCATGAAACCTGTACTCTTTTTCTGCATCTGTTTTCTGCCTCTGAATTTGGCCAGTGCCAAGACCTACCAGAACGTCAAGGGGGCGCTGAGCCAAAAGAGGGACGAGGAGGGGAACCTAATTTTCTACCAGGGGATACCCACCAACGAGAGCACCGACAGTGGTATCTCGACCCTCAAACCGCTACGGCTGGGAATGTTGGGCATCTGGGAGTCGCATGCCACTCCAGATCGGTACGCCCGGGTTTCAGGAGGGGCCATGACAGCAGCCGTCAGGAAAGTCAACAGCAGGCCGGACTTGCTGGCGGAGTATAACCTCTCCTACACATTCTCCGACACTGAGGGCTCGGAGGACACGTCCATCAAGGAACTGGCCGAGCAGTGGAAGGGGGGAGTGCAGGCCTTTTTCGGCCCAGACTTCCACTGCGTGACTGAGGCCAGAATTGCAGCTGCCTTGAATTTACCCATGCTCTCAAATGTAAGTGTGTACTTTCTTCGTTCATGTAATGAGTTTCGTGACTTTACATAAATGATCTGTTTTCAATGAAAATCACAACATGAAGGAGGAAAGAGCTAAGTACAAAAGAACTGCAGCTGTAAGACAAAAATACGGCTACACTGAACAAATTTCGATTTTAAAAAACACACAAGTAGAAAATACGGGTTTGAAGGTAGCACAGGCTTGACCTGAAAGTAAAGCGATTCTTAAATCTCCTGCTCTGAATCTTTACTTAAAAGTATCTTTACAGTATCTTCCCTCACATCGATGAACTGTAAACTAAAGACACACCCAATCTTAATGGCGTGCATTGTACTTAGTAATACGTGCACTGGTGATTCCGACACTCAGTAAGCGGAAAAGTCTGGCAGTTATGCTAGCAAATAAAAATTCTATATTGTAATATGAAGAGGGAAAAAAAAACTCGCTCTACTAGCAAATCAACTTGACTGAATGACGACTGTTATGTACCGCTAGGCCTACCTGTTGAGATTTAAAGAGACCATCTGCCCACAACTTCCAGTTTAATCACATGTAGTTTGATCTAAGCGCACTCGTAAAATCTCTTCGTTGGCATGGGCAATGATTTGGACTACGATGAACAAAAAGTCCACGCATGAACAAACGTCTACTTATTTGGGCCGGGGTTTATACAGAATGCCACCACGACACAGCTTACACATTGCACCAAGTTTTAGGGGCATTAGTATTTCTCCCACTCCGTTAAAAATCCATCGACGGTTTCTCGCCACCAAGATGGCGACCAGCGTATGTTGTTTGTCATATCTTTTTTTTTTAGAAGCGCCACATGGGATCGCACTGCAGTTCCTCGAACAAGCGCCAAGGTCAACTTTGGGGACTGCACCCTTGCAACTATATCCATGTAAACACGCGGTAAACACCGCCGGACGGTTGATTCAATTCTTGTTCTCCAGTCATCTGTGAAACGCAGAATTTTAACGACAATTTACTAGTTGTGTCAGCCCGGACATTTTTTTTTTACATTGCACCCTCTTCTGCTCTGAAAAAGGGGAAAACAACTATTTGTGTTTTTCCACTGTGTCATGAAGCTTGGAGGGACGTACTGCAGGGGTGACATTAAAGGAATATGAAATATTTACGAAATAATGAACAGAGGGACTGGTCATGGCCCCATAGCACTGAAGGGTCTGTGTGTGCTTAAAGGTATCCCTTACAATACCAGTTTCTTGTGTTCGATATCAAAGTTTAAAAGTAAACTTTATTTTCGAGATTCTAAAACAGATTGCTTGAAAATTCCACAAATCTAGGCAATACCACCCCTTCGACTCTGTTGCATACTAGACGTGAGGTACTAGTTTCCACAATAAGAAATAAAGCCCAGAGTAACATTTAATGACAAATCACAGGGTTCGCAATTTCTGAAGGCAGAAGAGACTCCTTAAACTCACCGCCTGGGCTTGGCCACTTAATTATTATGACGACGAAAAAATGGAAATCGCTGCCATAGGTGAGGCGGATACAAGTCTTCAACGATTAAACAATAAAACTGATATCAAATTTAACCACGGATAATCAGGCTTGGGTGGGAAATTCGGTCGTGTCACGTTTTATCTACGAGAATGCACGTGGTCACGCATTTAAACCGAAACTTGTGCTTGAAATATGCACGAGTTTGCATATTACGTTTTTGCGCGGGTAAAAAAGTATCCGAGAGGCCGAGGAACATCACTGATTTCTAAGATGAATTATGCATGATGGACGTCGACCTTCCTGATTCAAATAAATGAATCAGTGCGAAAAGGCGCCAAGAAATAATTACAAGAATACGCTTCGTGATTGGAAATACTCGCTGCCAGCGCAGAGTTAATTATTTTAACCCTAACAGTCCCAAATCCTCCGATTTCAATATGATTTTACATACACCCTAGGGGGTTAGGGTTAAGGGCAGTGCGACATCAAATCAAAGAATCTTTAATTTTGACGGAGGGTGTATTTATGCAAGCATACTTGACATATGTACTGACCAGTTTCACAGAACAGCAAGATAGCTATAGCTAGCTACTGGTGGTCAGTATATTCAGTTTGAAATTTATTTATTAATTCTTTGTCAGGGTGTGTTTGTGTGAGTTTTATCACCGTATAGATATTTAATGGAGAAAGCTGGGGCCTTAAAAAACAGCGACAGCTCTAAAATAGCGAAAAACTAAACCCTAGCTGTGTATATTTAAAGCCCGATCCACATTCTCCGTAAATATCCGAAACCCTGATGCCCTAAATATCCCTGAATTCATTACATAAAATAAATAAATATATTGATTCAGTGATGTGATTTGTCAATAAACATTTTGTTGCAATCGGGCTTCTGAGATTCAGAGTAGGCTAATACTTTGCCACGAATCTGATCTCATACATATCTGTAAAAGAGACTCAAATTATCATAATCAACGGATTATAAGATCTTCCTTTCATCCGATTTCTGTCCAGAAACTGATCATTTCTTCCCTAGAAAATTAAATCTTTACAACGCAGAGCTTTATCTAAGGGCTTACATAAAAATTCAATATTCATTTTACTCTGTAGAGAACGAGAACATCCGCGCACAACCTCAACGCTATTAGCATATATGTAGCCATTCCATAGTTCCCCGGCACGTTTGTCGGCTATATGGATTTCCCTTTCCGTTCTGCCGAAGTCTTTTGCATTTTTTTTGGCTAATGATATTGCGCGTCGCCATGGCAACAACCAGAGATGGACAGCAACAGAGCGCAAAATTTTACATTTTGGTTGTGTAACTTGCCTCGGTTGACCATGGGTTGCGATGTTTAAGCGTGCTCTGTGGGGGGTTTGTAATTTTGTTTTATTAGTTCATTTTCCGTTTTTTTTTTTTTGATATTTATGCGTAACACAGAATGAGCGGTACTTTACATACCAAGGTCTTGCTTTTGTCGATCTTCGTTACCCGTTCTTAGTCTTAAGTGTCGAGAGGTGTGTTCTGGCTCACCCAAATGATTTGCAGTTATTTTTTAATGCACAAAGCACCGTCCTTATTATTAAGTAATAGCAAGTGGCTCTGACTTTGATTTCACTCGCCATCAATGGTTTATCACTTATGGGAAAATTGAGTAGGGCCTTGTGTATCATTAGAGATTTTGACCAGTTTGAAAATCCCTGATCCAACGTCTCTGAATAGCCAATGGCTTCACGACCTTCAAATACAAACAAGCTCAGTACTTCAAGTTAATGGTTAATTCCTGCAAGCCTGTGACTGGTTGAAATCCCATTGTGGTTAAGAAACAGCCCGTATAAGTCGACCCTAAAAAGGCATCTATTTATACCCAGTCTTATTCCCCGGATAAAAGACGGTGTAAGTGGGAGCGAGATTCCATGGCATGACAATTCCGTTGTTTGACTGCCCCGTAAATCTGAAAAGATTCGCCCGGAGAATTTGCAGATGACCTTTTTCGCGCCAAGACAGTGCTCCTGAATTATTAAAGCGTATCCCTCATCATGGTTGTTTATTTTACAACAAACGCACTCAGCGCGACAATACATCAGTTCTTCGTTTAATTCTCAAACGACCGATTTCAACGGGTTCTTAGTAGATGCCTGTAAGGCTTTAAATGTGGATAATTCCTTTTTTTGTAGGGGAGGTAAAATTTTTTGCTAAAAATGTTGGAAATCCAAGTGACCAAGCTGTGTCCACATTTAATATAATAATATAAAAAATAACGAATATTTATAACGTCCTGGTATCTCCCTCCAGAGACGTTCATGGCGCAGTACAATCAGGAAAAAGGAAAACAAAAATAATTAAGATCTAATAACTGTTAACGAAGAAGTGGGATTTAGAGGCAACTTTTATCAACAAAATTTTGATGATGTTGATACTGTATTGTCAAAACAAAATGCATAATTCAGAGTACACTGAAAAGGATTCGGTAAGCTTTAAAATATCCATGGCTGGTGCAGAATGGTATATATGCATCTTACCTACGGCTATGAGCAGTTGTAACTACAACCGAGCAAAACTCTCAGGTATGAAACATGACATTCGCTCGTGTTTCCGACTTTACACTTTGCTTAGAGTAAAAAAAAAGAAATACCTGTCCTGAGTTCACATCGCTTAAGATGAACAGTGCCGACCCGGCATTGACGAGAATCAGTTTTTTCCGTCCCACAAGGCCTAATCAAATATAATACACTCAGTCAACTTCAACAATATCGGATACCGGCGTGCGATAATGTATACTACATGGACCATGAGTAACCTTGAGAGCAGAGCTGGCACGTTTTCCATCTATTTGCCGCCACATTATTCTCTATCCTACATGTAATCCCCATCTTGGACCAGGATGAACATTTCGACTATAACATGTATGTTCGCATGTTGTTGAGACTGAATTCAAACGCTGGAGAATCAGTGACAGACATTGAATACTGTGCCACTCGTGAAAGCGTTGAGGACTTCGACAGTGCTACAGTCAGTACTGTGAGGCCTGTGCTGTGACAGACTGATTAGGTTTTAGAGTGGAGTATGCTCTGCATCTTCAGTTACGTCAATATTAAATCTCATTATCTACTGAGATGTTCAGACTTTATAAAGAACTCTTCGTTCTATTTGTTAAGCTTATACTTACATAAATCTGGATCACAATAGATCGTTTTACGTTTTGGATTACCAATTTCGGGTATTCGCCCCTGGCCACAGTATCTAATGCGTCGCACCCATTCTACTCAAATCGAACTTTTAGCGCGGAGCATCTTGGATCACTTTACTGTCGGTTAGGCTTTCGTCGTCCAACAAGCACATTATACAGTTTTTTACAAACTTGACTTTTATGAAATTCATCCCACTGGCGTATATTTCAGAGACCGTAGGGACAGATTTTCCTCTTGTGCAGTGCCTCTTTTGGATATACATCGTCTGGGAAACATGACGTACTGCCAAAATGTCGAACTGCAGGTTTCTTTAAAAGTACATGCACCTAGCTGCGAGT